TGGAAAAAGGATCCGTTCAGCTACAAGAATGACCAAGTTCAATGCCGATGTAATTTAAGAAGGAAGTAACTGTTTATTACTCTTTGAATCTGGTAAAATAATTGCTACAGGTTTTAAAAGATTAAATGAAGTGAAAAAATTCATAAAGTCACGTTTTCCAAGTGCGAAATCATAGATTTGACATGATTCTATTCGTCGACGGTGGACGATTTCATCATTGACACTGGTGTATTTAATTACATACAAAAACATACAACCGAAATTAATTGACAAATGTATTTATTCATGAAGGAATTTTATTAATGGAAAACAATGACATTTGAGGTGCTTCAGTACTGTTGCTTGTTTGACCACGGTAATCAATGTGGTGAGCATTGAATTGCCGTTGGTTCGCCTCGGGGACAGTGAAAATTTCTTTCCCTTCATCATACTCTGGGTCAACACATTTATATGCTGCCCAAGGATATTTTTTTGGTAAATAAGTATTCTCTTCAACAAATCCTTTATTGGGGATTTTTTCGACATCTATTCGTGTTGGACATTGGATATACCACCGTTTGTGGTCAGGATGATCTCGCCCAACTACATGCTCCCTTAAGTTGATCATTCTTTTGAATGTGCCTTCACAATAAAGGCACATAACACGAACTGGGTATTCTGCGATGGGCTTTCTTGCCTCTGCTTCGAGGACATGGAGTTTTCCAATACCGTCCAAGCAACTTTATTTTCCTCTCTTAGGTCCTCCTGATCGTCAAGGTCCTCAAAAAACAAACGTGCATTTTCGAATCCGACTTCGGCCTGCCGTCGTCCATCAGGATCGATAGCCCATCGCAAGGTTGTGCATCTCCACTCTGCACACTGGTCCCGGACTCTAACTGTTTGCCCAGTTCTTTCTGCGGGGGACTGGTCTTGTGAAGTTGAACCACCACGAACCGCAGAGGAGTTTCTACGTGTTCTTCTTGTTGTTTGTTGCCGCGTTTCTGGATGAAAATAAATAAATAAAAATTGATACAAATTAGCATCGTACGAATTAATATTACATTAGAAAATTAGTCTTACCATTTTCCATGGTTAAAGATGAGAATAATTATCGTTAACAGTTGAAGTGAACTGATGGAATGGTGATAATTCAGTGATACTTTTCTTAAGAAAATTTCAGCTTAAATACAAGACTCCCAAACAACTTTTAAATAAATTGTCTCATCTGACATCTGAGTGATTTCCTGAACAAATTTGTAATTCTTGAATAATCTCCTTATTTGGTAAAAAAGTAATTGAATGAATCACTTTGCATTTCAAACATCATGAAAAGGGAAAAACCAGCTCATGAATAATCTCCTTATTTGGTAAAAAAGTAATTCCGTGAATCACTTTGCATTTCAAACAACATGAACTCATTATTTGATCAATTAATTCTCATGTTTGAGAATAGTAAATGTGATAAATCACCTCATCTGTCAGCTTAAACTGAATCAACATGCTTAAGAAAACTGAATTTAATTGAGAATTGAATAATCAAGTCATTGCACTCATATGATAAAACTTGATCAGGTGAAGAAATCGTCCATGATTATAATAATAGGCTGATAGATAATAAAGCTTTGAAATAAACCTAAAATGAGAGAATCAGCATAAAAGAACTGGTAAAGCCAATTTTGACATTTGAACATTTGACCTTAACTAATTATTCTTGTCAATTCCAGAAGGGAAACATTCGTTTCCCTTCTCCCATTCAGGTTCAGCCTTGAACAATCAAGAAAATCAAACGGTCAAGTGTAAAAATCATTGAAGCATCAAAAACCATAGATACTGTAAGATGGTGTCAAAAATCATTCAAGCATTAAAAACATTTATATCGAAAGGCCGTGTCAAGGTCAGCCGTTAGGTCAGTCGAGCGTAAAATCAATCATGCGAGAGGGGGTAGAGGTATTTCCGTTTCCGTTCTGTGGAGTTGAAACGTATGTTTTCATACTACTAACAGCAATAAAAAGTAAAGCAAAGTAACAAATGAACAATTGTAATTATTTATCCAGAAAAAAGTTAGAATGGGCAAGGAAAAAAATTCAACCCGATTCATCTTGTATCTCGAGATAATCTTTTCATTACCTTTTCATCGCATTGAAAGCAGGAAAATTCAACAGGAAAAATTTTATCGAATTGAAATGCAAGTAATGAAACTTTAATCAGGATCAAAATATTATCCCCAAACTGATCTCGAGTAACCAACGAAAAAAGAGGATAAAACCCATTCTGTTGACCTGAATAACTCTCATTAGCCATTAAATAGTCTCATATCTTTTTGCTAGATATTATATCAAACATATGTATTTATCAAAAGCCTAGTAATAGCAATTAGAGTTATTGCAATGAAAAGCCAAAGTAAGCAACAATTTTTGCTCAACTCTTGGCAACCAAATTAACTTTAATAAGTCAAACCATAAGACCTCATGGGACTAAAACAGCAAATTAAGGTTTTCTTTCCTAACAACCTTTTCATCTTTTCCTTTTCGTCTTCCTTCTCATCCTCATCCTCATCATTTTCTAGTATTGCCTTTTCTCCTCTTTTTTTAAATACCTTTACTTTCCCTGACTCTTTATCATTTCCTTTTCGTCACTAATTTTGTTATCATGAGCTAAAGATTCAATTGAATGGACACACAATTGAAACTTGTAATTCACATCTTAAGCCTTTTCATCCTTGCCATTTCAATTAGAACTCTTTTTTCACCATTTGTTCGTCATGTTTGCATCACCATTTGTCGATGAAAAAAAGTCAAGTTTATTAAAGTTCATTTTAACACAATGAAATTGTAAATAACGAGAAGTAAAAAATGAACACTTTACAACAAATGAAAAGAGCTGTTTCAGTGAATCAAAGTGAGTTTAATAATCAGACAAAAAATGTTCAATTTACAGAGAATCAAAATTGAAATTGAAATGGTTAACCACTTGAAGGTAAATAAATTTGCAAAAAGAGTTGAACAAGCGGATAAATGCCATTGTATTGATAATAATCCATGTTATTTCATCTATTTTTTGCACTCTACTTTAACGGAAAATCCATTTTCTATTAGATTCGCCTTGGAAATGGTGTGAAGTTTTGAGATGGTAAAAGAGTGGAATCAGGAAAATTTGATGAAAACATGATTGAACAATGTAACAACATTCATGTATGAATGGCAACAACAATAGTTAAAAACATTCAAATTTATCTTCATCATTGTTGTTCTGCTCTAAACCTTCTCAATCCAATTGAACCTGCAAGCAACAAATACTCAACTGGGAATGAAATTAATATCTACTCTGAGAAAATTTGATAACCAATGTATCGACATTTCTATTTTTTCGCAAAATAACTCTCAATATTTGGATGATGGTTTTTGCTTCAACTACTTTTTGCCAATATAATCTTTAGTCTTGTATTCATCGTATAAAATAATTCATGTAACAATCACAATTGAGTTGGAAAACTCTGCAAAATGAAAAACCAAATCAAGATGTATTTGATTATGAAAGAAAACTTTTGCCTCTCGAAACAAATTTGAATATTTTAAATCAACTTTTCTTCAGGTTTGGTAAATCAAATTAACCATTCAACTCTTTTCCAGCATTTTATGATGATAGCAACAAGGTGATGAATTTGATGAACCAATATTGAGTTTATCACAGTTTTTGCCACAATCAAATAAAGGACAGAAACGCGATTATCAAAGTTTGATAATTAGTCAGCTTGGTTCGATTTCAAAAATGTTTCATTTTTCGTACCAAATATTAATAGCTCAGTTCATTCATACTTCATGAGTCTCAAAAACTCGAAAAGTGCAAAAAAGTATCTTAATTTTTTCGAATTACCAGGTTCTTCAAGATTACTGTAGGATTTTCAGCTCATTAGGTCGTTTCAATGCTCCATCAGTGCTCGAGTGTACTATTTCTAGTTTGCTTTTTCTTAACCAATGAAATAGATTTTGAAAGCTTCTTTCCCAAGTGAAACTTGAAGGCTGTTAGTATCAATGAATTAATCTTTACCAGAACATCGATTTTGCCGATTCCACGAAAAGAGAGTTTTCAAGTTGTATCAAAGATTGCTCTAATTATGTTCATGATACCTAGAATATGATTAAGAATAAATCGCATTCTTATCGAAAGTTTGGACATTTTGTAGTTTTCTATGTTTTGCGATTCTTCATTAAGATCTAATAGGCCAAGTCGATACTGCTTCACATTAACTTTAAATGCATGAAGAACTAAAAAAATTTAAATGCTATTTTACCGTGAACTTCACCTTTGATAAATGTCCTTTATACCTCACTGTACAATAATGGAGCCAGACAGGACCAACCTTTTCCCTCATTTAAGTCAAACCTTGACTTTTGAAAGATATTTTTCAATAAATTTATTTTCCAATGTTTGACATGTTTAGGCGAAAATGTGTCAAATAAATTCATATATTTGGAAATTCCATTGAATACAAAGAAAAATCAAAAAAGTGATTCGCTAAAAAGGAATTTGCCAAATTTTCAAATTTCTCTTCAAACAATTTTCCACCAGAATCAAATGAACCACCAATTTTCAATGAATTCAATTGAGCACACTTGCGGCATACAAACACTGTAAACCTCGATGTTTGTTGGACAAAAACAAAACAATTTGAAAGACTGAGGTCAAGCAAGTCAGTTGTAATTGGCCAATACAGTCATTTGTTGATTGACATTTTTGTCATCTTTATCCAGTCTCTTTCCTCATCATCCAAGTGACCAAGAAACGGCGCATTGTAAAGCACAAAGGTCAATATCTTTTTGCAACAAAAGTAAATGATGATAAGTAGAGGGCAGCAGTTGACATCCATAGGCAATGTCAATAGACAGAGGAAAAGATGCGAAAGGAAAGAAGAGAAAGAGAGTGAGACAGTCTATTGATTTTCGAAGCGGGATTCTGCTCTGTTTAAACTCTTTTGCTTTCATTACTTTTTCACTTTGGTTAAACTTCAGTCTTCTCGTTATTGGTAACCATTTCAGTTTGCATTAAATTTGTGCCCATCTTTTTGTACAATAAACTGAATAAACGCAAACCTAAAAAATTGACTTAAACTTGGAACAACTTTAAATCGTGTTTTCGTTTTCGTGTGTGTTGACCGTGTTTCCATCAATGATGCAAAACTGAGTTTTGCCGCTTTTCACTTCGAATTCCAATTTCATCATTATCCATAAAACATCATAATCACGTTTTCATTGAGCAAAACATGTCGACCTTATTGATTAATTTCAAGTGAAACCGCAACATGGAAAAATGTTCAATTTTGTCTTCTCTGAAATTTCAATAATTGATTGAAAATTATCACATTTTCTGGTGGCAAGTTAATCAGTGCAAGGCAAGAGTAGTAGCTGCAATCAGATTAGAATGAGAAACTTTTGCTTTTATTTTTTGGAGGAAAAAATTTTTCTCCAATTCTGATTGTTCCATTTGATTGATTCCATTGTATAAAAGGATAATATAAAAGGTCAACAATTTTGTGCTGTGAGTTTGTCAATCAATGAGTGCAACAATTACCACATTTGGACATCACCATTGACCATCAATAACATTGTAAATAATCGAGTGCAAGAAAAAGGAATGAAAAGGGAAAAGTTCAACAATCAACAGGAAATAGAAATGTGATTCTTTACGAATCCAATTTATCCTCATCATGAAAGTCAATCATTAATATCAATTTTTACTTTTAGTCAATTTCAATTTTTCGAGTTGCCTTTTAGCTTGTTGCTTGCCACTTGATTCAGTTGAACGCTTGAACGAAAATCAATTTTTAGTTTTTCCTTCATTTTCTGTGGTCAAAAAAAAGGATCAGAAGAAGAGAGAAAGTTTTCTTCTTCTTTCATCCAAAACCATGAATCCATGTTTTCAATCAACAATAGGAATACCAAATACTCATCAAACGTTGACAATATTTTTATGGTCAATTTTAATGGCCTCGTTTCTCGACGTTTGCCTCACTCATCGTTCCCATCATTATACTTTTTTTCAAAGTGATTCACCTTCACCTTCCAATGTTGAACCGCCAATTTACGCATCTTACACTACACCCAACAAGAGCATCAACTTTACCCATCTAGTTGTTGATCCAGTCACTGGTCGACTTTACATTGGTGCAACCAATTGGATTTACCAATTTTCCGATGACCTTTCCTTGGAGGTAAGCCAAAGAACGGGTCCAATCGACGATAGTCCCTATTGTTCACCTTCAGATTGTTCAGCAGTTGAAAGTGTGGCAATCAAGGCAACCAACAATGTGAATAAAGTTTTACTTCTTGACCCCGAGTCAAGAATGTTGATTGCCTGTGGTTCGGTTAGGCAAGGTTCATGTCGTCGTCACCGTATGGATGACATTAGTCGAGCCGAGTCACTGATTGAGGTTCCAGTGGCAGCCAATGATGAAAACTCGTCGACTGTAGCCTTTGTGGGTCCAGCCTTTTACTATGGAGAAAAGGGTGAATCGGTGCTCTATGTGGCTGCAACCTACACTCGACTTGGACCCTATCGTGAACTTGTTCCCGCCATATCATCTCGTTCACTGGAACCCGGTCCAAGGTTGTTTACCATAATTGAAAAGTCTTTTACCGATTCGGGTAGAGTAGACATTTCATCGCACCTAAGAGACTATTTTCTGGTCAAATATGTTACCGGTTTTGCATCTGGAGACTTTGTCTATTTTGCCGCTGTCCAGCGTAAATCGTCTCTCAGAGCTCTTGAAGAGTGGGGCTACGTGTCTAGGTTGGGTCGAGTGTGTGCCTCTGATGCTGGCTTCCATTCGTATTCAGAGATTACCATTTCATGCATTGATCCACACACTGGAATAGATTACAACCTTCTCTCGGGTGGTTCAGTTGTTCGTGCAGGTCACAATCTGATTGACTCTTATCGACTGCCCAGAGGTACCCAAGTGTTTATCGGTGCCTTTGTCTCTTCGCGTGATCACACCACCCGACCCTCGGCCCATTCAGCAATCTGTATATTCCCATTGCCCTTGATTGAGGCTAAATTTGCTGAAAACATTCACCTTTGCTACAATGGATCAGTTTTATCACGAAACATGGATTACATTGCAGGAAGTGTCAATGAATGTCCAGAAACTGGGGTAAGTAAGCCCAGCAAGTAGGCACAAAAGCAATAACATTTGATTGCATTTTGTCACTCATTTAACCTCATCATCATCCAAACTACTTAAGCTAATTAGTCAATTGAAGTAAAGCAGCAAACAACGACTTTTACCCTGAAAAAAAGGTCTCTTTCCTCTTCTTTATCAAACTGACAATAACCTTATTGCATTGTATTGTCACTTCTTTGTGTATCACAATAACGGTTTCAGCCAAAATTAAAGTGCATTAACAATCGTGTGCTTTTACAACGCTTAGCTCATAATACCAAACAAACAACGCAACACAATGAATTATGTTATCAAGTTATTGCAATATATATGAAAATATGTATTACAATATTGTTCAAAAGTACATTTTACTTGCGGCCTTTTTCATCACATTTTTTTCAAATCAAAAATTCCAAATCTTTTTTCTCCCTTTGATTGGTAAAGTTATCATTAATTGAATAGGCTCTTTATTTGGGTGTCAGAAGGTTGGACCAAGTTGACAGTGAATCAAGGGAATGAAGTAAAGAAATGGGCATTTTGAATGAAAGGAAACCACGGATAACGCTATTTGTAAAAACTTATTGATTCCTTTTTTTTTATTTGCTTGCTCTTGTTCACTCTGTTTTTGAGTCAATGAGCTAAAACTAGTAGCAACTGGCAGGACTGCGTAGAGAGGCGAAGGGAGGATGAGGAAGATAAGGAGGAGGTGAAGGCTAAAGGTTTACTTGAAGAGCTTCTGCCCTGGGAAACCTGACAAGAGAAAGACTATTGAATTAACGGGAAAAGATGAGGATGAAGATGATGAGGAATGGTAAGAAGAAGAAGAAGAAGGGAAAAGAAAAGTTTGCTTGTTTGGATGAGCCCGTAATTGACAGACAGACAAAACGACAAAGACAAGCCAAAGTAGACAGAAGCTTTTCAACAAATGAAAAGACCAGTTATAAAGGTTACCAATGAACGGTCATCAACACGATCTTTTTCACTTTTCCTTCTCCCCTCTTCATCCTCATAATGAGCTCTTTCTCTATTCATCTCATCTTCATCTCTGTACTTCTGTTGCTTCTCATGGCCCTTAATTTGCTCTCTTGCTCGCTGGTAAAACACACATTCTTTACTCATATTTGTGTCTCTTTGGTGTCCTTTTGCCATTTTTAAAGGTTACACTTTCCCCACTTCAACGAGTCACTATTTACGTATCTGTGTCCTCATTGTATTCATAAATAGAGCTTCAAATTTTTGGGTCATTTTTTTGGGTAAATTTGAATAGTCTGTTAAGCTCATTTAATCGCCTTCATCATTTGCCATTTCAATTTAATCTCTCGTTTGTTTGTTTTGCTGGATCCTGGATTTAACACATGAAAAGCGTTTCACTTTTGCTTCTCTGGAAAACTTGAAATGTTTCAATTTCCAAGTCGATAATTTCGTTTGAATAAAAGGAAAGGGAAAATTGAACAATCTAATAATATTCAACTACGAAAAGGGAATAATAGTGATAATATGTAAAGATATAAATAACATTAAGAGGGAGTTTCCAGGTTTTGATCAAAGTGAAACCAGAATGGAAACTGTAATAAAAATGAATCAAGAATAGAAACTGAAAGAGATGAGAAAAATTCCACACAAATTTTCATGTTCTTATAAAATTCTTTTGCAGTTGATTGCAGACTTGATTATCGAAGTAATTACCTCTTGAAGATGTTGCATCTTGAGTGAAACTTTATTTTTCAATTAGTGGATAAACATGAGAAAATGAGACAAAATATTTTTTCATTTTTTCGCAATTATCATGAGTTTTTCATGGAAAAAGTGTAATGACATTTCCAATTGAAATTTTTGCGATTTCAGTTTGAATTGTAAATCAAAAGAATAAACTTGAAGAGAAGAAAACTTTGAAACAAACTTTTCTCCTTTTGAAGTTCAATATCTGCTCAATTTGCATGGAAAATGAAACTGTTGGTTGAAGTGTTGTATGAAAAATTTGTGGTTTACTAGACTAAATTATGTTGTGCTCATCATTATCATCATGAAAATGAGTTGAAAGTGAAACAAGTTCAATCGAGAGAAGCTTCTAATGGTAAGTATAATGATGATGATGATGACACTCTGATAATTCTGAATCCAAACACTAATGGCATTGGAATATTAAACAGGAGCATTGAAGCAAATTTGTTGATATTTACTTGATAATAAATACATTATCTCAACTTGCTCAACTTGTTAATTCAACAAAAGAAAACAAAACCATGATTTTCGCCCATTCATCATTTTCTGGTTCCAACGAGCAATCAAACTTTCAATTTAAAAGCAACTCAAATCACTTTTCATTTTATGGTAAACTTTTGCCTCGAAATAATCTCAATATTTGTTCACAAAAAAATATCCGAAAGCAGAAATCGAAGATTTCGAGAATCGCTCATCTAAAGCCATTGTCTTTTGGACGAGAGGAAAAAATAGTTTTCAGAGAATTGAAATTTCCGTCTTGAAGCATTAGCATTTGAAAAGTCAATCAAAGTCTTGAGTGGAAATGAATTCAATATTTGCAAAGAAAAATTGATCGACAAGATTCCCTGATTGTTTTTCCTGAGTACGAAGCTTAATTCCTAGCAAGGCGAAAATTTTTCGAATGAATTTTCTTGTTAAATTGAGAGCAGCATTGACCGTTTGAAAAGTGGATTAAAAGCAAGTGAAGTGAGGAAAATTTTGTTGAAAATTTTGGATATCAGATTAAAATTCCCAATTGATTTGAGCTGTTCATTGAAATCTTTAACAACAACAGGTTATATAATATGTAAAAAGTGAATTGAATTAATTAACTTTGAGATAAAAGGTAAATGTAATTTACAATTTAAGCAAATAAAAGATACTCAAGAGACGCTTTCTCTACTTTCACCAAGTCAATCCATTATTTTTATTTATCCTTTTTTGTTGTTTTCCTCTGAATAAAATGAACTTTCAGAGATGAATGAAAATGAAGCGAAAAAAAGGAAAGAATCTGAAAGAAGCAAGAAAAAGCTAAATACTGAGCAACAGCAAGAGGTAAACATTGAACAGAGAACAAGTTGGACTCAAATTGAAAGGTAAACATGATCATTTGGTGTAGCAATTAATCTCCATCAATTGAACATATTCTGGTTAACCTGAACCCGCTTTGTTAATGAACTTTACTGTAAACTTGAAAAGATATTATTCTTGAACAATATGAAACGGAATGAGTACAAAAGGGTGAATCAATTAATTATCATGCAAGTTGCAATGGCCAAGTAAAAGTGGAAACATTAGATTAACTTTTTTTGTTCCCCTTTTCATGGTCATTACATGGATGATATCAACATTCATTTTAATGGTTAAAGTTGCAAGGAAAAGGAGAAAAGTGTACAAAAATGAAAACTCTGGTTAAATACAATTCTTTGGGTTGAGTTGAATAGGAAATTGTTGTTGCCTCAATATAAACATAATTTTCATCTCTTTCTCTTCACTCTCTCTTTGCCTTTTCTCTTTTCATCATCATCATCGTCATTTCATCTCACAATCCAATAAGATGGATTCTTGCTTTGCTCTAAGAGTCTCCTAGGGTTTCATGAGTTACCATGATACAGTGAATATTTATGTTTCCAGTCTTTTCCTTTTCTCTTTTTTTATTGATTTTTCTTTCTCTTTGCTTCTTTTTATCTTCCAACATCATCGTAATCGTCTTCATTCGGTATCAATATCATCTTTGGCTCCATTTCAATTGAAATACCTTTTCTTTCATTTTACTTTTTCGCTTCTCTTTCACTTCCTTTTCATTCCATCTTTTTTTTGTCATCTTTATATTTTCTTTTCTCTTCATTTTCATCAGACTTTCTTTCTCTCTCTGACCTGTGATGGTGTGTCAAGGAAACAGATTAGCATCATTTGATGAGATAACTTGACAATATGAGGAAATGAAGAGTAAAAATATTATCGAGATTGAATATTTTTCTTCATTTTCTTTCTTTTCCTTTTCTTTGCTAAAAGATGTACATCCATTCAATTACATATCTAAATGTTTGACAATTGTGTCAACCAATTCTGGTTACTCATCATTTATACACTTTATCATTTGAGTGTTGAACATTGAAAGATGAAAATACTTTTTGTCTCTCGACTTGAAAGAATTGAATATTTCATGAAATTATTGTAATCTTTTTTTTAAAAGCACTTGTATCGACTTTAATCTGAAACAATGTCTGCCTACTTTAGATGAACATTTATTGTTTGACTCAAATTAGACCATCGAAGTGACGTCAAGATATTCATTTTAAATTGTAATCAGAAAAAATCTGTAGTTATTATTTCACACAATTCACTGAATTTCACGCGATTCTTCGATAATAGCTATCATTCCAACAGGTCAGCCATTAGTCGTTTCGATATCTAAACTGTGGAACTCAACTCTCACTGAGAAATGTTGTATCACAAGTTTAGTTCAATGTTTGCTTTCTCGAACTGCAAGGACTCTATAAAAGTTAAACAGTTGAACAAAGTTTATCATTGGATTATTTTGCATTATTATTGTCACAACAAACTGGTTCAACCTCATTCAGTCTGGTTACTTGAATATCTGTTACCTGACTGCGCATAAACAAATTGTTTTATTGTCTTTATTCAATAATCAGGCAAATTGCTAATCCAATTGTTTAATCGATAAGAAAAACAAAAAAAAGATGATTAAAAGCTCAACCTTAATTGAATTACAAACCGACTAACTTTTATGACTAAAGTTCAAAAAGCATCATCGGACCATTTTGTATCACCATTGTAGACACAAAAGAGTAATTGCAAACAAATTTTCTTTCGAGTTAAGAGTAGGTAGCACTGGCATGAAATGTCCATTTACGCATCTACCAGGCTATCCAAAAGTCGTCGAACGAAGAAGCGGAATGAGTTCAAACTTGGTATAAGATATTTTTAAGATTAAAACTTAACTATCGAATTTTCAAGTTCACTGGAGATCATTTTTTTGGAATCAAAACTTTGACCTTTAGAGATCGTTTGAACGTAGCAAAAATTTTCGACCTCCGATTTTGGCGAGCGATTGTCTGTTCAAGACTTCTAGTATAACTTGTTTTCAATACTCGTAATGTCAACATGAGACTAATTGCGAGAAATTGTGAGTTCATAGAGGAAACTCCTTACTAAGAGATTCAATGAAGAGGACAGAATTGGAAATTAGTTAAAATATCAGTTTAGTCTTTTCAATCGATAATTATTGTAATGAAATAACAGAAAATGAACTTGGAAAATTGAATCGAAAAGTTGATTCGGTCTCAATAAACATTTAAAACTTTTTAAACAGATTATTTCTTCTAATGTTTATCAAATTGTTTGACGAGGATAAAAGAGGATAAATTGTAAAATTTTTGACCAGATTAGGTAAAACTGATTTGAAACCATTTTCTTTCAACTTTTTACTCAGACAAAAATCTCTTCCCATCCTTTGTCAGCACATTATTCAAAGAAAATTTCAACAGATTTCTCATGAGTAGCAACTGAATACACATCAGGTACAAGATAATAGTTACAGCAGTAGGTTTGGTTAAGAAGGAGAAGTGAAAAAAGGGAGAAAAAAATGGATACTAAAAGAAGGCGAATGAAAAGGATGAAAATATACATTATTAGATATTATCTACTGAATAGGAAAGTCGGAACAATATTGTTAGCTCAACATTGAACATGATGTTGGTTAAGCTAATAAAAGATGAGGAAGAGAGAGAGAAAGAGAAAAGAGATAAAAAATTTTGGTTCTACACAAGTTGAAAAGATCAAAGATTCGTTTATGCTTTTGCCTTTCATACCATCATAATCATCAACATGATCATCAGAAGCATGATTATCTTCATCATCTTCCCTGAAGCATCGAGCAAGAAAAAGAGTTACAAACTAAATTGGTTTCTACTATTACCTTTGCTCATCCCAACAAGAAAATCATTTTTCTTTGTTTCATCAGATAATTTCACCTTGCATCCTCTGATGATAAAATTATCATGATTCTCTCTCCCTGAGAGTTGATCAGCTCGGGTTTCACGGCCATTTAATTCTCAATTTCCATCTTCTTTATTCAATATCCGACACATGGTAACATTGAACCCAACATCATTATCATTAAAACATATTCATTTCCAGTTCATTCCCTGTTATCAAATGAACACAAACACACACACATTAAACACACACACATTAAACAGACAAAAAGAACCTTTTTTTATCATTTATTCTCTTCTTTTTTCCACCATTCTTGATATTATCTGATAACAATGCATAATAAATTAACTCTGAAACTGAAACACAAAACAAGTTTACAATTAACTTCACGTGATGCTCATTTGGAAATGAATATTTCAGGAAAAGTCAAAAGATGCATTCTTATCAGTTTCTCGATAAAATCAACTTTTCTTGTTCAACTTTCTAAACCATTTATCGGTTAAACTTTTCCTCGAAATTCTTATTGGAATGGGATGAAAGGGCATTCATCGATTTGTGTCTAGTGTTGAAGGAACAACTTGCAGGAATATCGATCCAAGTGGATTGAAATTCATGAACATTTTTTTCGACTGTTGTCTTCTAGAGAAAAGAGCTGCTCAAATTGAATCATTTTTCATCTTTTTCTCATCATCATCAGTTCACCTTTGCCTTTACTCTTCATTGTTCAACTTTTTTTTTACTTTTTTTGTACTTTCTTTCCCTTTAAGGTAATCATGAATCAAAGCTTAAATCTCTGCTGTTCACAAGTGCTTAGCCTTGAACTTATTACAGGAAAATTTTCAAGATGAAACTTTGCGAGTTCATCAAACTTTGAAAGCAACCTTCTCTCACCAATCAAGTGTCAGATTTTCAGTCTTTGCTGTCATAATCGAAATCAATGTCAGGCTAATTGTTCAAAATCATGGTCTATCAGTGATTTATCAATATGCATTTCATGAATAGAAAATTCATCTTGTTTCATGATCATTTAATTTTCTTTTTTTCATCATTTTTTCTCCATTTTTTCCATGAACTCACTAATGATGGAAAAAATCGCAGTTTTAATGAAGAAAGAAGTGGGTTGAAAAGGAAAATGAAATTGAATGGAAAAAAGAACATTAAAGAATTCTAATTTTTCTCCAAGAAATTCACTATAAAATCTAAATGATTATTTAATGAACAATCAAAATAACTGAATCTCGACTGAACTTTCGAAAGCTCAAGTTTTCAAATTCGATTTTTAATTGAATTTGGCAAAATTAATTGAATCTCAACTTTATTACATTTCCTGATTATGATTCAATATTTTGGCGAAAAGTTTTACATCATTTTCTCTGAATCCATCTAATCTCTCCTTGAATATGCTAGAAAATTTAATATCATGAAAACTTCTGCTAAGCACATTTGTTCATTCGACTCTTGTTTAACCTCATTTCCATGTTTGTTTCGACATCAAATTAAGTCTAAATTTTCGTTTATTTTCATTTGCTAAAGATTTTCTTCATTAATCAGATAAGTTCTGATGAAGTTTTTCTTTTTCTGTCGACTTTCTCTTCGTATTTAAAGTTATCTCGACAATGAAACAAATTGAGCTTCATTTAAAGAAGTAAAACTTTCAACTGTGCAAACAAAGATTCAACATTTGGATGAAATTGAATCTTTTTGTCAATAAAGTTGAACAAGTTTGGATGAAGTAAAAAGCGAATCGCAATCAACTTGAAAATGAACAAATTTTCTGTTTAAACTTGCAAAACTTGATGAGGTTAAATGAGAAATCAGACTTTTTCTGATATTTTTGAAGCAAAGAAAATAACAATTTCTTTTTCTTTTTCCTTCAATCCATTTTCTTGAATTTACTCAGAGAGCCGGAAATATATTAAACTTTTGCAACGAAGCAGTCAAATTGAACGGAACCTTGCCTTTAACAAGTAAACCTGTCATCACATACAACAATACAACTTTAACCGGAATAACTGTAACCACCAATGAACAACATACAATTGCCTTTCTCGGAACTTCATCCGGTCATCTTAAAAAGGTAAGTTTACTTTATCTTCAACAAAAAAGAAATAAATTGCCAAATTTCCATCGAAATGACTAAACATTACAAGTAAAGAAGCAACAAAATTTCAGCTTGAAAATCAGTTGCTCAGCTTTATCCTGAAAAGCAATTTTTCACTCAAAAAGATAATCGATTTTTCCATTTGCACACTCAAAGTAATTTTAAGAATTCAAAGTTTTCCAAATTCAACAAAATATGAAAAGCATAAGAAGCTTTCTGAAGCCTTGAAGCTAACACCGAAAATTCAATTAAAGAGTTTTGTCACTCAAGGCTTTTCCTTGATATCAATTCATTTGAAGTTGATTGCTCTAGTCAGCACAACAGTAATAGATGTTGGGTTATCCTGATAATTCTGTTCATGCGATTCCCTAATTCTTTTATTCTGATTGTTCGACCAAAAAGACTTTTCATGGAAAAGAATAATTTTTGTTTTTCTTTCGATTCTATTTTCTCTTCTTTGCATAATTATAATCTAATTATTCACACATTATCTTGTTATGGAAGCTGCTTGCAAATTATTCAAAGCTTATTAAAATGTCGTTAATAAAGTCTCGTTGGGCAATTCGATGGGAAAATCAAATGCAACTTTCAATTGAATATTATATTCAGCTATAAATATTCATAATTTAAAATTGAAAATTAAATTAAATTGCGTGATCAGATTGAACGCATTGAGCAAACCTGAATGTAATTAAACTGTTGTATTTTGCCTTCAATTAACATCTATTTCACTTTCAAATTTTTTTTCCCTGTTGCAAAAAAACAAATGTAACTCTATTCTGTTGATTGAATTTCTGTTATCCTCCTCAACTCCCAGCATGTACTTTCACTCCCAGTGTCATTGGAGCATTTCATCAATTGCATGACACGCGACTCGACCGATTTCAATAAAATGAGTAATTCAAGTGAGAATAATCAAAGTGACTTTTATCTTTTCCTTTTTTTTCAACACAACAAAACCAAATCTCAATAATAATAGACTGACAAAATTATGATAATCATGATAAAGATAAGGTAATGATGAAAACTTCAATAAGCTATTTTTATCCCTTATTGGTAGCATTGGTTCATTCATCAAACCATGAAGTTCATTAAATGATTAACTTGCGATTCTTTTTTCTTTTCTCCTGATTTTTCTCTCTTCTTCTCTCCTTTTTTTTGTCTGTGCGTTTCTTGTCTGTTCATCACAAAAGTGATTCAAGAGTAAAATTTTCAGAGGCAAAGAAGGGCATGATAATGGAAAGGAGAATAGAGGAAGAAGATAGGAAGACGATGGAGAGGAGAGGAAAAAGAAAGAGAAATGATAAGTAGAGTAGAAACTAACTAACTGAACATGGAGTTTTACAATTTTACCCTGTTCAAGGTAAAAAAGAAAGGCTGAAATGAGCAATGAGATGAGAAAATATTTTTAGATGAACAAAGCAAACCACTCAACTGGAAGAAAAGTAGGCTTCTCCTATGGGAATATAATGCTGATAGTGTCGTGTAGTCATGTTTTTGGGCCTTACTTTAAGTGTCTTAATACAAAAGAGCTCAACAATCAAGAGTAATAAAAACAGTTGAGTGTAAAAAGAGTTTCCAGTTTGTTCAACTCGTAATCATAGATGACTTTTCAGTGGAGGAAACAACAGCAAGAAAGGTTGCTCATGATGAGGAGAGAGGAAAGGATAATGATGAGACGAAACAAGATGAAAATAGATTTTCAATCGAAAAATGATATTGATCAGAGCTTGATTGGGAGTGAAACTGGGAGTTGATTAATTGATAACCTTGTATTCTGATGGAGATAATTGTTTCGAAAATGAACATTTTCTCTCGAAACATTTTCGAACAATTCTTTTGCCCTTTTTCACTCGATCTTTTGTCAGAATATTTGCATTTTCACTTTTTCGCTCTTCTTTTCTTTCGACAATTTTTATCTCTCAAAACTGTTTTCGCTTGATAATTGTGCTTCACTTTTGTCCATTAAATACATTTATGCATGCAATGCTTGATAAGCCTTTGAAACGCTTTTGGATTTTTGAGTTTAGTCGTAAATTAATCAGTCTTTTGATTTAAAAGTGAAAAGTTTTTTCCTTTTTCATCATGTTATTATAATTGCTGTTAAAGTCATGATGAAGCTCATCATTTCAATTCTCTCTCAATTTTCCACTCTCATGGTCAGTTTGAGCAAGATAAACAATGAATTTGAAAATAACCTTTTTTCATGTAGCATCATCATTGCCAATTTTCACGGTTGTAATGTGCAAACAGCTTTACTTGGATGAACAAGAATGAGATTTTAAAATTCAATTCCATCATGTTTATTAATTTGTTTATCCCTAAAGGAAAGGTATGATTGAATTTAAATCTCATTACTTGTGCTTACTGTTTCTTGATTAAACTTAATTTTGGCCATTCTTTTTGTCACTCTTTATCGATCAATGAAATCACCTTCTGTGTTAAGTTGCATCTTTTATTAGATTGATTACCAACCAGTTTTACTGCTTTTTTTGTGTCTACGTGAATACGACTCATTGTACCCACACGCACACCAAATGTGTTTCAGGGAGTGAAGAAACAAAAACAGAAGAAAAATGATGTGAAATGCTTACACTTGGCTGAGAATGAATAATGATGATGAAAAGAAAGTGTGAGAAGAGAAGAAAAAATTATGTTTCAATTGATTGATTAGTTGTTATCTCATGGATTTACCTTGTCAGACAGACTATTCCCACTCATCATGTAGGCTTGATGAAGTTTCATTGATCTCAACATTCAATGGTTCAACATTGAAATTGCCAAATAATGATTATAATAACTGGAAGAGAAAAGGAAAAAGAAACATCAAGAATAGAAAATATAGTCAAAGAAAATGCGACATTTTGCAGGAAAAGAAATGAAAATACAGTGGCATTATTTTGTTAATACAATAGCAAATAATAATAGCTCTCATTTACCAAGGGAATCATTCAATATGCTTTGATTTAAGAGGAGCGAAAAAACCAATTATTATTATTGTTTGGCTTTGCCATAATCTTCAATTTAAACTTCTGTACATATTACAATGTTGCTCTTTTCCCATTCTGCACACCAAGAAACTGACAATTGCTCACCTCTAGAGGTGACCTCTACCAAGACAATGATTGATACCCAATCCATAGTGCTATCCAATGACTCGTACCAACCTACATCGATCGACTTGATCAATAGGATCCTTTGGTTAACCTTGCATCTTAAGTTGCAATAGATGTTAAACAACTTTCACCTCGGATCTGGGCTCGAACCCGGATCCATTTTATGAGAGGTGTTTATGCTAACCGTTATACTACTGACGATATTTAATTGTAAATGTATTTACATAAGGATATTGTATATAAATGTAATCAATTTAATTTGTTGATATTTGAATATCAAAGGAATTTAACGGAAATTCAGTTTGTTTTATGAGCATTCAGGGTGAGAAGATTTAAAATCTGAGGAATTTTAAATCAAAATAAGTTGAACTTTTGATGTTATTAGATTATTGAATGCAACCATCTTATGCGTTGGTCAACCAATAAACTGGATGAAGCATGCACAATGGTTTGTAATGGTAATGGTTATGGTAATAACAAGGTACATGGGAGTAGACTGGCAACAAAATTAATTGTGATTCAGTGTTGAGAAGATAAATTTTTATTGAATTAAAATGAATAAAAAAAGCCAAAGAAACTTATCTATTTATGTTTACCATTTATCTCGATTCTCACCTTTTTATCCGATTAAATCTATTCTTGTTTGTGTAAACCAAATAAGAAACAAGAGAATGAAATGAAAGAAGATATAAAATAAACTCCCAGGCGAACAATAATATTTAAGCTAAACGGGTTCCAAATGAGGAAGTGAATAAAAAGAAATACCGATAATGATAATAAGTATAATGACTCCTTGGATGATGCTTATTATTATTGGCACCTCATGGTTTATCCAGTTTTACTCCAATTCTCTTGATGTTTACTATTTCTGTATAATAATAATGAACAAGAACAAACTCAAATAATACATGATAAAAATTCTTATTCCTCAGTTTATTGTTCCTCTAGTGTCCCATCAATTGTTACTAAATACTTTTTCATCTTCATCTACAAAAATCATCAACACTATTTTTTGCACCTCTTTTCATTCCAACATCATCAGAAAAGGATAAAGGAAAAAATAATAAACAGAAAATCTCATTTCATTCCCTGATACAAAAGTTGCTCTTTTCCTCCTGACCAACTCGTTCCAATCATACAAGAGAAAAAACTTTTTGTTCCCTTTCCAGAATCAAAAGTAATGCTCATGATAGACAATGAACTGATAATGATAATAGTTTGAAAAGATTACAATAATTATTGTGTGACAATGAACAATAGAGAGAAAAAAATTAAGTCGATTTTTTTTGCTGTTACTTTTACGATTCCTTACAACTTTTGTAATTGTTTTCACCATTCCAGGATATTGATACATTGTTGCCAGGAAAAAAAGAGAAAAGCAAAAAATCGTAATTTGTTATTGGCTCATAGTAAGAGTAGCACTGAGTGGACATGATAGCGTCCACTCAGTAACCAATTGCTTATTGATTTGGAGAACAAATTTTCTCATAAATTTCCATTTCCATCTCTGGTGATGAATGATTTTTTCATTTTTGCCTTTTCTTCTTCTTTCATCTTCTCGATAAAAATGATGTTTAAATATGTATTTACAATGGATGATGGACTTGAGATAAATGTTGATTCATTCCTGTTTTCACGTAAAATGCACTTTTACCAAAGGTAAGTGTTGATTCAAAAGAAATGCATGTAAATGCATGAGAGAGCCAAAAACAGTGAAAATGAATCAACAATCAAATCACTTTTATCATGTATTTTGCTTCTTTTCAAAACAATCTCTTTGACTTGGTTTATCCTTTCATTTTGATATTTTATTCATTTTCACTCCCAGTTGCTTTCAAGCTGCAAACTCCAAGGTAAAGT